CCGACTTAATACTATTCGCTCTCTTATTATTATTACTTCTTGTGCCGGCACTCCATTGCGAATCCATTCTTCCGATCGAGAAAAGATCGGTGCTATCTTCACTGCCTAAGGTACGGATCCTAACAAAGCACGGGTTCGGAGTTCGGTGCAGATTCCCAGGCGCAAATTTGAAAGGGCATTGTCCGAAATTTACGAGAGCAGTAACATCGGCATTTGAAGCTAACGTTGGATAAAACGGAGAGGTGAATTCCTCTTCATCGCAGTTGAATTCATGAATTAGTATCGAATCAACTGTGAAGAAAACCCGTTTCTGGCCTGGATTGTAGCCGCAGCCGATTACGACGGCCTTTTCCGATATTCCCCATTTGCCCTTTTTGGATTCGGGCGCAATCTTCGTTCCTGTGGAAATTTAACGTGAAGCAATTATACATACATGTGGATGATATATATTTATAATCTTTAAGCAATTGCAAGTTTAAATTTATGCATCACCGTTACGATATACGGAACCGGTAGAATTGAAGCCGATTGAACCCGGAAAACAGCCCGGAATTTTCATTGGGATTTGGCCTTCTCTTGTCAATCCAACTGAAATCAGCAAAACAGCTTCATTTTGCTTTTCTTGCAAGATCGTGAGTTCGAAATACGCTTCTTGCGGGAAAGATGAGTTGTCCAAACGCGGGCCTGGCAAAGGCAGAGCAGCCCGAATCACGGATAAAGACGAATTACTAACGCGGGTGATGATCTTCTTTAATCCTGGATTGAGTCTAACTTTCTGCATATAATCTGATGATCCTTCACAAACTTCCCAACCAGTCTCGCAAACCCCGAATAGGGTTGTTGTGAGGGCAAATCGTGACCATCCGTTTTCGACGGCGTCCGCGACTAGAGATGGATGGTCGGCCCACCGGAAAACGTTCGAAGTGCTCGCCGTGAAATCCGGTACGATAGGTTTACGGGGTTTCGGGTGAAGGCATTCTTGGAAGATCAGAAGAAATAGAAGGATGAGAATTCCGGCAAGAGCAGCTATTAGTGTTATATGCAGCCAAGTGATCATCTTTGAATTTTTATTTTCGGACAAGATCAAATCTTTGCAAATTTTCAGACAAGACTAATAATAATGTTTTAATTAATGATTTTGGAAAATATAACTGCAGCAGAGAATTGCAAGTGCAAAAGGGGGCATATGACTTGAAAGAGATTATATATTTTAAATGAATAAATGCCTTTTCTTTATTGACCATTTCATCCCTTAATAAATGCTTTCATATACGCATAAGTGTGTGTTTATAAGGAATGAGTTTCTGCTGATTGCATTCATAGGAAAGACAGAGTCTTGTTTTATGGGATTACATTATTATCTAGTGTTGCAAATCTTGTCTTTAATGGGATTTTGATAATTTCTTTAACTTTTTTGACAAATGTGGTGAGACCTTAATTTAATTCATTGAAAATTCATCATAAATGTGTGATGATAATTTCTCATTCAAAAAAAAAAAAAAAAAAAAAAAAAAGGGGAAATGGGCTTTAAATATATGTCTAACTTTTGATTGGGCTTTGTGAGTTATTTGTAAATGGGCTTCAATAAGATAATAGCCGAAAAAGTAGTTACACCCCAGTAAGGTAAAACTATAATTATTGGATGAATATTTCTTAAATCTAAGAAATTCAGTATAGTATCACGTGCTTTAGTTTTGCAGGTTTATAACTCAAGTGTTCGTCATACATGATCGAATCATCTATCCGCCTGCGGAGACCTACTCTGTTTAATTTACCGCGAGACGAGGGATACAACATCAGATATAATATAACATAGTGGAATGAGTGTAATTTCACAAATAAGAAATTGATATTCATAATTCAAGCATACATCACAACTCAAAAGGTTTCTGTATTTTATTTCCTGGTTATCCTCTTTTTTCAGTCTTGACCAAGAAATAAAGAAGAAAAATAGGATATTTGATCAGTTATTAAAATAAAAAATAACAATAAAAGTATTCTTTGTCCACTAATTTAAAAATTCGATGCTTCCGTGAGGTACTAAGATTCTGTGTTGTCATCGTCTTATGCTCTCATACATCACTATTTTATTTTATTTTTTTCTGTTATTAGGTATTTTAATTTAGTTACTTTTACCAATTAATCTACTATGAAATGCTAATTAACGCTTGAAGCCTATACAAATTTGTGTCCCTGCTTTAAATAAACAAGTAATTAATTACTTAAGGTGGAAAAAAATATATAAAAGAAGCAACTAATTGTTTGTCTTCTTGTTTGAAATTGGGCAAAGTCAGCAATTCCATCAAACCCAAAAAAAGCCATCAGATTTTTTTTTTCTTTTTACATTTGTCCTTGGGCTATTCCTTGTTTCTTTGTTTTCTTTATTTTTTTGATTAAAAAAAATAAATAAATTATAGGAAGAATAGAATATGAGAAGGAGAGAAAGATAGAATAGAAACCCCCATTATGTTATGGGTTGATTACATGGAATATATATAGAGAAATATTGCAAGGTAATAGAGTTTGACTAGGTAACTAAATCCTAACTAATCTAGGTAACCGAATCATACTAGAATCCTAATATTACAAGAGTTCTATAATATAATATTCTCTAACACGCCCCCGCAGTCGAAACGTGACGAACGTGAAGACTGGACAATCACTTGCTAACACGCTCCTGCAGTCGGAACGAATATACTCCAAAAGTGAAGACTGGACAGAAAACTCACGAAATCCAGCAGTAGTGAAATAGTGAAATCATTGGTGAAAATATCTGCCAAAATGATAGGGAAAAAAAAATAATAACAATAGAGATAAATTTTTTTTTTTTTTTTGATAGAGAAAGAGAATATAATATATAGAAACCATATAGGAAGAATAGAATATGAGAAGGAGAGAAAGATAGAATAGAAACCCCCATTATGTTATGGGTTGATTACATGGAATATATATAGAGAAATATTGCAAGGTAATAGAGTTTGACTAGGTAACTAAATCCTAACTAATCTAGGTAACCGAATCATACTAGAATCCTAATATTACAAGAGTTCTATAATATAATATTCTCTAACATAAATAAAAATAAAAACATTGGAAGTTTCCCTTATATGGCTAAAAAAAGTAGTTGTAAGTGTTCAAGTTGTTGAAAGGGAATGTCTTCAATGATCATTGGTTTTATCCAATTTGTGCATTTCTCCACCTCACAACTCCCCACTTTAATCTATTCATATAATTTATTAATAAGCATGCACCAAATTGGCAACTTGGCTCACTCTGAATTATTAGCTTATACGTCTATCAGACGCTACACCTGATGCATGTAACACAATGTTCGATTATGTGCAGATCAATAGTTCAAGATCACTCGTTGTATTTCACTTAGTATAGCATTTACAAAACCCTCAAGTCAAATAGTTGAAAATCAAATTGAATCAATCAATTTATCAGATTAGTCATGCTTTTGGAGGAAATGTAACGGAAACTCATTTTGGAGCATTTATTAAAATAAAAAATATATATATATATTATTTACATATATTCTACATGGTGATAATGATATTATTTACACTTATATTAACAAGTCCAGAATGTGGTTAAGTTGTTGCTTTTAACATACGTCATTTGAATAGACCCAACTTAATTATTTATATTTCATTGTAAATTTGTAATAGAAATTATGAATAGAAGACAGACACTTGTTGGTTTATCGTGCTAGAACTGTAATTGATGCTGACAAATTATTTATTTATATTTAACCTTCATTAAAATTAATTGCAATATTTGTCAAGAAAAATTAATTGCAATAAGATATTATATAGGATTTCTTTATAATGATTGAGAATGAGAAAAAATGACTGTATGCGTCGGCCAAAAATTGTAGTTATCCTGTACACGTGGCAGCCGTGCTTAAACGACACACTATCGGCCAATTACGCAACTCCCTCCACTTATATATGTGCGGCCGATCCTTAATCTTCCTCCACCATGTCAACATTATATCTTTTTTCTTTCTTTTTTTATTCCTTTTAAATATCATCGAAATGGGATATTTAATGATAATTAATACATTCAAAATATTATATTATTAAGCGTTTTATGTATTTATATATATTTAGGTGTAAATATGTAATATACACCAAATATCTAATGTTCCCGATTTGGTAATTTAACTATAGTATAATCTCGATAAATTAATAATATTGATTAAATAATAATTTCCTTCAGCCCGACTCGACGAAAATGTGTTAAATTATTAACTTGATAATTTAATAATTCGTTAAATTAATAAAATTTTCCTAGTCCCAACTATATTAATTTATAGAGGTTTAACTGTACTTTTAATTTCCAACAATTCACCACACAAGTAAATATACATCCACCAAAATTAAATGATCCAAGGCACTAAAATTAATAGCTACCCTATGCATGTAACTAATTTTGTACTTAACTACTAAAAATAAAAATAAATGATTTTATACCTAAAATATTACAAATTAGTATACGATGTTATTGAAAAAATAATAATATTTAACTACTTAATATTTTATCTAACACAATGAACCAAAGATGTTAATAATTAATTAATTAATCAAGTAAGCAAGAAGTTCAATTTTTTTTTTTAATGAATACATAAGCAATAAATCTATTTAACTTGAAATTAATCCGCTATATAAATATAAATGAGGTGGTGGGCCACAGACTAGTGAATCTTTAAATAGCCCATATCCAGTGCAGCCCATATAAATAGAGACCCACCGCATCAAAGTATCAATTTTTCTCTAGCAGCAATTGCTAATTTAGATTCTCTCTCTTCTCTTCTTCCATTTCTTACTTAGGGTAAACCCTAATTCTCAATTACTGAAAAATAGGGAAAGAGTTATCAATGGAAGGGGGTTGCTGTACGGCTTCTTCAACATCTTCATCAGGCGGCACAGAGATTTCGAATTCGAAGAGGAAGCAAATTAGGCAAGACAAACCCTACCGAGGTATAAGGATGCGGAAGTGGGGAAAGTGGGTGGCGGAGATCAGGGAGCCGAACAAGCGCTCCAGAATCTGGCTCGGCTCCTACTCCTCCCCCGTCGCGGCGGCGCGTGCCTACGACACCGCTCTCTTCTACCTCCGCGGCCGCTCCGCCCGCCTCAACTTCCCCGAGTTCCTAGTCGAGGAAGTCGTAAGCGACGCGCGCGATTTGTCCGCCGCCGCCATCCGGAAGAAAGCCACCGAGGTCGGAGCTAGGGTTGACGCGCTCCAAACCGCCGAGCATGCAAGCCCCGTCTCCAATAATTCGGGTCGGGTTTCTGAAAAGCCCGACTTGAATGAGTACCCGAGTCCTGAAACCTCGGAAGATAACTGAAAATGGTATAAACATATATAAGTACGGTTTGTATTAATTATTAGAGTTTTTTTTTTTTTAATATGTTTATTTTTGTTATAATTATATTAGTGTTTTTTAAATTGTATAATTTCCGCCGGAAAAAAACAACTGTGTTTTGGCTCCGGCACCGGAAGGAATTAGAGGATTGCAGGGTGGGGGTACTATAGAAAATATAGAGATTAATTAAAAGTGTGCTAATGTAATCCAAAGGGATTATAATTTATATCTATACCCAAGTTCAAGTATATAAATATATATATTTCTTCATCAGTTAATTAATTGTGAATTAACAAAAATAATTAGTAAAATCAACTTAATTTCTTTTTTTCCTTCAGTTTTTTAATCAAGATATTAAAATAATAAATAAATAAATCACTGTTCCATTGAATATTGCTAGTGTAGAGGAAGAATAAGACAAGAGAGAGAGAGAGAGAGAGAGAGAGAGAGAAAGAGAGAGAGAGAGAGAGAGACGAGGAGTGTGGGGCCCACTTGTTCATAGCAAGTTGACGAGAGGATAAGGTAGACACAGAGTTGCATTTTCTTATTATCTGACGTGTCGACTGTCTATGGACTTCACTCATCAAATATCATAAATCTAAATAAATAAATAAATGAACCGGTCCGTCAACTAATGAACCGGTTCCATTGGGAGTAGTGATGGGTTTATGGAATTGTTTAATTTAGTAGTAGGCTTTAATTATTTATTTATTGCACATAAGCATGCGTCTGCCTAACTGTACTCCATCCAGTTATTTTGACTTTGTTTAGTTCCACTTGAACACTCTCTTTTGCACGGCTTATTATAAATAATTAAATAAATAATAAATAATAATAAATAAAGCAGCTCACATGATTGGATGAAGCAGCTCAGTGACGTCGTTTTGTAGATTAAAGTGTGGAAAAAGGAAAATTAAATTATGGGCAGAAAAATACCAAAGGTATATATATTTTATTTATGGGCCGAACTAGTCCAACAAAGCATAGGCCCACATCTAATTGCCCATTTAAAGACTATTAAATCTCTATAAAAAAATAATTTTGATTAAAAAAATTAATTAATTAATTGAAAAAATAATTAAATTAGGTGAATTAGGAGAATATGAATGAGTCACAAAGTACAAAGACAGTACTTGAAAATAATAAACAGCAGCATGGTGGTATTGTCTACAAAATTTATTGCAACTGTTAAACATCCGTATATATAGAACTGCAGGCTGACTTTAATGTTTAGGCGTCAAGAAGTCAACCTCCAATTTCAATTTTGTATATTTTTTTTTGTTATTTTTAAATATTAGTGTGACTTAGGTGCACTAGTTGTATATCTGTTTATATTAATGTTAATTTCATTTACAAAATTAAAATAATTGTAAATGTGACTATATATGATGTTATACCTCTCTCTCACATCAATTGTGATTAAATGTTTGGAAAGAAAAAAAATGATATAAATTGGTAGCTCCACCAAACAGCACTTGTGCACTTGTTACATGTCCAAGTTCTAATGAATGTGTAATTACTTATTATTAACTTACTTCTCTCATCTGCCCCTTCTTTATGTTTGCAACAGAAAACTGAAATTCCACATTTGTGGGCCGAGTAATTAATTTTGGCAGCTACCATTGCAGTAGTCAAATTAAGTTATCACACATTAAAATTATTATATATACATATATATCTAGTACAGTGTACAAGGTACAATATACAACCACTGATGTAAGCCTTTCTTTATTTTTCATTAATAAGTGTAAAAAAGAAAGAAAAAAAAAACATTAAAGAAATATAATTTCGTTACATCACAGGGAAAATGAAAGGATAAATGGGCCAAACTTGGCTCAATTAATATTATAATTGGGCTTCTTATCCAATTGGACCTTCCGTTACCATTAGATTGGATTTCTTGGAAAATAAATATTTTTTTAATGGGCGAATGACAAAAAGACCCATCACATGGGAATTAAATACATATTAGTCCAAAAAAAACAGTCTCTGAATTAAGCCCATCCCCATGTCTTTAGTCTAAAATATCCTCAATAATATAATTCTTATCAATTCCACCCACCCATTATGCTCTAACTTCCTTAATATTACACATTGACCCCGGATTTTAACCAATATATCACATTAACCACCCAAACTTTTTTTTTTCAGAAAATAATTTTTTTTCTGAAATATTTTTTTTCTGGACAGATTCCGGCGTTGACTTCTTTTTTTTTTTTTTTAACTTTTTTTTTCCTGAAATTTTTTCCGGTCGGTCAACCACCGTTGACTTTTTTTTTTTTTTTTGAATTTTTGTTTCTTAGAAGAAAATAATATTTTAATTAAATATTACTGTTTTAGCTACTAAATTACTGTCTCAGACAGTAATATTACTGTTTGAGACAGTAATATTATGAATATAATTTTTTTACGAATAGTAATATTATGAATATTATTTTTCCGAACAGTAATATTATTAATATTATTGTCTAAGACAATTAAGTTACTGTTGAAAACAGTAATTTAGCATCTATCTAAGGCAGTACTATTAATTAAAAAATAAAAAATGAAGAAAAAAAATGAAAAAAAAGTCAATTAACAGTTAAATTACTGTCTCCGACAGTTAAATAACTACTGGAGACAGTAATTTAGCAAACGAATACAGTAATATTAATTAAAAATATTTTTTAAAAAAATAAAAAAGTCAATTAACAATTAAATCATTGTCTCCAACAGTTAAATAACTGTTTGAGACAGTAATTTAGCAACGAATACAGTAATATTAATTAAAATATTTTTGAAGAAAAAAAAAAGTCAATTAACAGCTAAATTACTGTCTCCGGCAGTTAAATAACTGCCGGAGACAATAATTTAGCAGCCAAGACAGTAATATTAATTAAAAAAAATTAAGAAAAAACAAAATTATAAAAAAAAAAGTCAACGCCGGTCTCCTGCGGTCAACGCCGGAATCTGGCCGGAAAAAAAACATTTCAGAAAAAAAAAAATTTCTGAAAAAAAAAACTTTGGGGGTTAATGTAATATATTTGTAATATTAAGGAAGTTAGAGCATAATGGGTGGTATTGATAAGAATTAGGGTTAAAATTGGGGTCAAATTTGAAATTATGGTTAAAATTGGTTAATTGATGAAATTGGGCTAAATTGGGTGTAAATCATGAAATTGGAGTTAAATTGGGTTTCAATGAATTGGGGGTAATTTTGGTATATATAAAAGGATTTTCCTTATTTGCAAATAAGTTTGAATGGGTTGGATTTATTTGAAAGACAAAAAAGTTGGATGTCCTTCTTTTAATTAAGTGCCCTTGTCATGGGTCTATTTGCCATTACCCCTTTTTTAAAACTTAATAAATCGATATTTCTAGGTGCTAATTAATAAGACGGATAATTGAGATGGACCTAACTTAAACCCAATCACTCGGCTCGATTATAATTGAGTCGAACCTATTTTATAGTTAACAGGATACATTGGGCCTCATTAGTAAAAATTTTTTTTTATGAAATTAAATAAATAAATAAAAACTTTTTTGTGGTGGATTTAGCAGGATATTATTTCAGTGACATCAATTCAGGAAATGGTTGTTTGGACTGTCATCCATTGACACTCTCATCTAACAAAAAAAGTGAACCCCTTTTTTCTCATTTTTCTTTCAAAAATTAATTATGTATTTGTCCACACTTTTCCCTTACAAGATATGACAAATTTCTCACCATGCGATCATGCAATCATCACTCCACATTCTCTTTCTCTCTCTTCATTTTCTTTACCTTTACCCAACAAAAAAAAAAAACCCCGAAAAAGAAAAAGGGAAAAAGGATTCAAGACATAAAGAGAATAGCTAAATATACAAGAGAAATGATGCTAATCTCCAAATCAAATAAAATGGGAATAAATGTCAATCAAGGCAATGATGGCTACACCAATTCACTTTTATTTTTTTATTATATCAGTAGTAGTAATAAGGAGTTAGATACCGGACGGATTTCAACCATAAATTTGATTAAATAATCACCAACTAACCACATATATACATAAGAGTGCATATGTGTGTAATTATGTATAGATTTACGGTTGTATTTCATACTAGCACGAGAGTAATTTTAATTGTTCATGTGTGTCCATGAATTGGCTATTAATTTTTTTTTATTGTTATTATAAAGTAATTATATTCTAATAACTACTTTAGTGTTATAAATAAGTATGAATTCGTGTTCACATAGGTTTGCCAATTCAACTCGAGCACGTGTCAAATTTTAACCGAACTCGAGCTCAAGCTTAATTCAAGTACTAGTTCGTCATTTACTTCATTTGGTATTTGAAAAAATAATATGAGAATTAAAAAATGTGCACGAGCAAGTTAATCTAGCAATTATTATACTACATATGACACAAATGACAAATCATATAAAAAAATCAATGGTGGAAGGGCAGAATATTTGCGTGCACATTTTTCCAACGTGTGCTTGTCAATTAATTAAAAAATAATTTACGTCAATTAATTAAATAGAAAACAAAAGACAAAAACATATTTATAGTTATTACTTATGGGGGCAACTATTTTAAATCCTAACTTTTGCTTAGTTGAATACTACCAAGTTTAAAACCAAAATTGAGTACATATTTATCAGTTTTTTCTTACTTTAATACCAAAATAAAAAGAAAAGTACAAAAACACCCCTTCATTCAAAATATTAATTATATCAAATTTTTTTAGAAATTACCTATTCAAAAACCAAATAAAAAAGAAAAAGAAAAAAAAAAACTTGTAAAAAAAAAAACCTCCACCATTTCTTCTCCTCTCCAACCCTCACCGCCGCCGCCGCCGCCGCCGAACGCCACCGCCGCTTCTTCGTCCATTGTTATCAACCTGCCGCCGCTTCTTCGTCCATTTTTTGTACAAGTAATATTTTTTTTCGAATTTTTTTTTCTTTAATATTTTCGAATTGTTTGATATGGGTAATTAGGATTTGATTGTTTTAGGTAGAAATGATCGTTAATTAGTAATGGGTGCATCTAATTTCAGTCGATTTGAGCATTGATTTGAGATTCGTGGGTCGGTTCTTCATTCAAAATAATCGACCTGTACATGTCGATTTTTGCAGGATTTTCGATCTACACAAAAGTGGAGAAAATATAAGACAAGTAAATTTGCAACAGGCACAAAATCGACATTTAAGTGTCGAAAACGACCTCAATTTTCGACACTTAAGTGTCGAAAATATGGGTACATTCGACACTTAGGTGTCGAAAATAGAGGTCATTTTCGACACTTAAGTGTCGAA